TGGTAGTGGTAGTGGTAGTGGTAGTGGTAGTCGTAGTCGTAGTCGTAGTCGTAGTGGTAGTAGTGGTAGTAGTAGCCGCCTCCTCCTCCTCTTCCCCCACTCCCTCATGCTTTTCCCCCACTCACTCCTCCTCCTCCTTCTCCTCCTCCTCCTCCTCCTCCTCCTCCTCCTCCCCCTCCTCTTCTTCCTCCTCGTCCTCCTCATCCTCCTCCTGTTCCTCATCCTCATCCTCTTCCTTCTCCTCCTCCTCCTCCTCCTCCTCCTCCTCCTCCTCCTCCTCCTTCTCCTCTTCCTTCTCCTCCTCCACCCCTCTTCCTCATAAGTAGCTCCTCCTTGTCGCACACCCCCACCGTGTCGGTACGGCGGGCTGGGCGTTTCGCCTTAGACTTTCTCGCCACTGATCGCCCCGAAGCTTGAAAGGAGCGACAACTTCACAAATGAAGAGCGGGCCGATGTTTGAATGTGGCTCTCGCCTTAGCGCCACACACACTCGTCTTCAAAGGCTGCAACAATGTCAAGGATCGAGGACATTTCGCTGCCGAAACGTTGCTCTCGCCCTAGCGCCGCGCACATTCGACCTACAAGTTTGCAATGACTTCAAGAATGGAGGACAATTCCTGTTCAAAAGGTGGATCTCACCGTAGCGCCGCGCACATTCGTCCTACAAGTTTGCAACGGCATCAATGATGGAGGGCAATTCTTTTTCAAAACGCGGTTCTTGCTGTAGCACAGCGCACATGCGCCCCAACTGTTCGCGACTCTGTTCCAAGGATTCGCATGGTTGCCAGGAACGGTGCTCGCGCGCAATTTAGGACTGTCAGGACGCAGCAGTCGCGTGGACTCGCGGTGTTGAGGTCCCAAGGACGGTATTCTGGCACGACTGGGGCTGTTCAGGACGCAACAGACACGTTGATCCGCGGTTGTGAAGTCCAAGAAATGGTGTCCTGGCACGATTGAAAATTCACAGACGGTTGATTTCTAATAAGCCGCTTCGGGCACCAAAGCAAATTGCACGTCGGTCGGAAGAAGTCGGTAACCTGATATTGCCACGAACCCCGACCTTGGAGGGCAACTGGGCGCGACTTGCGAGAAAGAGAGCAGCAAAGAAGAGGATGCCTATAGAGAGCATTACGTTGGTTCCTGTGTTGTCCGTTTGACGCTGTGACGCTATGCCGAGGCGCCTCCAGCCGTCCTGGGGCTCTCTTGGGGCAGTCCTAGGGCTGTCTTGGGCGCTTCTGGGGGCTTGCTGGAGGCCTCTCCAGGGTTGGGATCTTCAGGCCCTCCCAGGGAATCACAAAACACAGCAAAGCGCATTGATTATTGAAGTAGAAGGCACCTGAATTAGATTGGGATCTGGGAATCCAAAAACACCTGCTTTCAACGACCGGCGTGTATTGTAGGGACCTACGAAGAAGGAACTTGGAGATAGGGTATAATCCAACACCGTTGATGTGCCTTCAGTGTGCACTGGTCCTCCTCATCCTCCTGTTCCATCCCTCCCTCCCCTCCCCTCCCCTCCCCTCCTCTCGCCTCCCTCCTCCCTCCCTCTTCCCTCCCTCCTCCCTCCGCCCTCCCTCCCGCCCTCATCCTCCTCCCGCCCTCCCTGCTCTTCCTCTGTCCTTCTTCCTCCTCCTCCCTCTTCCCTCTTCCAGCTCCCGCCTCCCTCCTCCCTCCTCCATTCTCCCTCCTCCCTCCTTGATTCCTTCTCCTCCCACTTCCTCCTCCCGTCCTCCCTCCCTATCTCCTTCGTCGTCCTCCTCCTCCTCCTCCTCCTCCTCCTCCTCCTCCTCGTTCCCACTCCCCCCTGCCCACCCGCACACGACACCCACCCCAGCTCTCCTACTCATGCGGTTGCGCCAGGTCGTCCAAAAGCCACCCAGACAAGACGAGAACCACTGAAGATCTCCCCGAAGAGTCGCCCCCCCATCGACACCGCTCCGCCCAAGGCGTGACCTTAGTGGGCCCTGGAAGCGACAGGGCCGTTTTTTTACCGGTTCCGTTTTGCCGTTTTTGTTGCCGGATCCGACTCCGTTTTTTTACCGGTTCCGTCGCCGTTTTTTAACCGGTTCCGGCTCCGGTTCCAATCCTGGAGCCGTTTTCTTGCCGTTTCCGGTCGCTGTTTTTTTGGGCCGTTTCCATGTTCAAGGGGCATTTTTTGGAAACGGTGAAAAAAACGCCCCTGCCGTTTGCGGGGCCCACAAAGGGCGTGACCACCCCCGTCTTGACGCGCAGAGGCCAGGCGCCTTGACGAGCCCCTGCAGCGCGCGGCTGCAGCCGCGGCTCGCGGTCTCGAGGATGGCGTGGGCCTGCTCGCACGAAAGGGGGCTCCGCTGCGGAGGTGCCGCGGCGCCACGGGACGGCAAGGACGCAGGAGGAGGGGGCACGGAGAGAGGGAAGACGGATGAGGAGGAGGAGGAGGAGGAGGAGGAGGAGGGGGAGGAGGAGGAGGAGGAGGAGGAGGAGGAGGAGGAGGAGGAGTGGAGGGAGGAGGAGGAGGAGGGGAGGAGGGGGGAGGAGGGAGGAGGGAGGAGGAAGAGAAGGGAGGAGGAGGAGGAGGAGGAGGAGAGAGGAGGAGGGAGGAGTAAGGGATGGAACGAGGAGAGGTGGAATGGACGGAGGGAGCGAGGCAAGGAGAACAGGGCGAGGGGAGGGCGAGCGGGAGGAGCCAGAGGGAAGAATAAAAGGAGTAGGCAAGGAGAGGGGGGGGGAATAAGGAAATAGAGGAAGAACGGAGGACAGGGAGAAACCGGGAGGAGGGAGGAGAGAGAGAGGGAAGGGGAACAGCTGGAGGAGAGGAAATGAGGGGAGAAGGCGAAGGACGAGGAGGAAGGGGAGGAGAAAAGGAAAGAAAAATGGCGAGGTGCCGCGGGGCGACGAAGGGGGGGAGGGAGGATGCAGAGAGGAGTCTGAGGCAAGTCTGCGTGCACTACACACCACCGCCACTCTCCCCCTCCACAATTGAGCAATATGAATACTACTCTCCTCTCTCCCCTGGTGGCGTCTGGGAAATGACGGGCCCCCTTCCGCGTAGTGGTTTTTTTACACATCGGATTCCTGGGAACTGGGTTTTCGCTTGGCTTTTTTCAAAATGGTGCTCTCGCTGAAGCGCCGGCCTCATGTTCGGGCTACCGCTCGTTCCGAATCGTGCTCCCACTGCAGCGGTGGCCTCATTTCCGCGCTTCCGCTCGTTCCGAATCGTGCTCCCGCTGTAGCGCTGGCGTCACTATTTCCAGCGCCATGCCACGGCATGGTTTTCGGTCCTTCCAAAAAATCTTGAAAATGGCCCCCCGAAAAAAACATCGAAGTGATTATACTTTCAGTATCGCTTCGTTGATTTTTTGGACCGCAGAAGCCCCCAAAGTGGGCGTGGCACGCCATGCTATGTCAGGCTACGCGTCCTCATTTCCGCGCACCCGCGCTTGGGCTGTTGTTCAAAATGCTGCTCTCGCTGACGCGCCAGCCTCAGTTTCGGAATACCGCTCGATCCGAATCGTGCTCCCGCTGCAGCGTTCGGTCCTTCCAAATGGCCCCGAAATTTCAATAATGACCCCCCGAAAAAACCATCGAAGTGATTACACATTCTGTGCCGATTCGCTGATTTCTTGGGCCGCGGAAACCCACCCACACTTTGGGGCGTCGCCACGCCATGCTATGTCAGGCTACGCGTCCTCATTTCCGCGCACCCGCGCTTGGGCTGTTGTTCAAAATGCTGCTCTCGCTGAAGCGCCGGCCTCATTTTCGGGCCATCGCTCGTTCCGAACCGTGCTCCCGCTGCAGCGCTGGCCTCTTTTCCGCGCTTCCGCTCGTTCCGAATCGTGCTCCCGCTGCAGCGCTGGCGTCATTGTTTCCAGCGCCATGCCACGGCATGGTTTTCGGTCCTTCCAAATAGGCCGCAAAATGTAAAGAAATACTTCCCGAAGAAACCATAGAAGTGATTACACATTCGGTGTCGATTCTCTGATCTTGTGGGCCGCAGAAGCCCCCCCCCACTTTGGGGCGTCGCCACGCCACGCTATGTCATGATACGCGTTGGTCTTCAACACTACGACATGTAATGCTATGCCAAGCTACGGCATCCCACTGTGCGAATAGAAGAGAGATCTACGCCATTGTAAGGGATGGGAGGGAGGGGTAGGATGTCAGATATGACGCGAGCGCACCTAGCTTGTCCTCCCCCCCCCTCCCCTCCCGCCCTCCCCTCCTCCTCCTCCGCCTCCTCCTCCTCCTCCTCTCCTCTCGTCCTAACTCCACCCTCCCTCCTCCTCCTGTGCTTCCTCCTCCTCCTACACCTCCTCCAACCTTCCTCGTTCTCTCCTCCTCTCCTCCCTCCGCCCCCCCCTCATTGGCCTCCCCATCCCCCTACTCCTCACCTCCCACCTCCTCCCTCCTCATCCTACCTCACTCCTCCTCCTCCTCCTCCTCCTCCTCCTCACAAGATGAATACTACTCTCCTCTCTCCCCTGATGACGTCCGGAAGATATCCGGCCCCCTTTCCGCGTGCTGTGTTTCTACACACAGGGTTCCAGGGAAAAAGGTTTTCGCCTGGGCTTTGTTCCAACATGTTGTTCCCGCTGAAGCGCTGGTCTCATTTTCGGGCTACCGCTCGTTCCGAATCGTGCTCCAGGTGCAGCGCTGGCCTCATTCCCGCGCTTCCGCTCGTTCTGAATGGTGCTCCCGCTGCAGCGCTGGCCTCATTTCTGCGCGTCCGCTCGTTCCAAATCGTGCTCCTGCTGCGGCGCTGGCGTCATTATTTCCAGCGTCATGCCACGGCATGGTTTTCGGTCCTTCCAAATAGGCCGCAAAATCTAAAGAAATACTTCCCGAAGAAACCATAGAATTTTTTTACACATTCGGTGTCGATTCTCTCATCTTGTGGGCCGCAATCGACCCCGAAAAAACCATCGGAAGTGATTACACTTTCGGTGTCGATTCGTTGATTTTCTGGGCCGCAGAAGCCCTTTGTTTGGGGCGTCGCCACGCCATGCTCTTTCATGCTACTC